AAAAAGACAACTTAAGTTGGTGTTAAAAGCTATGGAAACCAAAAGATTACCAGATGAAAAATATTTCTGATGCACAATCTTATGCATCAGTTTTCCAGAGTCGCTTCAGTTTAGACATTCAGAGCAGAAAAATGTCGCCCATCAGTTCAAACTGTCATTCTGTAATCTCACCCAACTGGACTTATCTGTAATAGCTCTACTGTGAAACCTCTGAGATGCATCCTATCAGACACTTGTACCACCTCAACTGGCTCCATTCAGTGCAAGGGAGCAGCAGTTTTACACTGAACCTTGTCATAATTAATGGATTATTAGAGCGTCACGTTCAGGCTCTTCCTCCACTTCAGTGTTACAGAGGGGTGCAACCTCTGCAGATATGTTATTTATTGCCAATAACACCAACAAATTATTTTTTTTTGATGGTTTTAAGTGAACTGCAGCTGTTAACTGTCATTGTGTGTCTGTTTCGCAGGAGGTGCTGAAGGTTATGCGCAACATAGATGACCGTATAGTCCATGCCCTGAACACGACGGTCCCCACAGTCTCCTTCTCAGGCAAAGTGGATGCCACACAAACATGCAAACAGCTCTATGAATCTGTGAGTTTGACTGTCAAATTTAATGTGTGTCCTTTTGTCTGGACGGTGGCTGTAACAAATGGTAAAACCTTGAAAGTATCACTTCCTGGGTAATTTTGATATATTTGCTACATTTCTTGTCTCCCTTGTTTCCCACAGATGATGGCGGCCCATCTAAGTAGAGATAAGGCTATCAAGATCTGTATAGCCGAGACATCTGAGGTAGTCGGACAACTACGTGAAGAAAGAACAAAAGACAGCGAAAACCTGGCAATTATCAAACAGCTCAGAAAGGAGCAGACCAAAGTAAGTCCTGCTTCTAACACTAGAGGATGCCACATACCACACTACTACAAAGTAAGAGCCAACCGAGATGTGTCATGTTTGAAAGAAATGGGGATTTAGAGGGTACGATGGATCTAATTAAGGATGCTATCAAGT